TTTTTTTTCCTACCTATTAGGTGGGAAAGCAATTTTCATCTTTTTTTTTTTTTTTTTTTTTTTTAGCAATGACAACAAATTCTATCATCCATTGTAAAAAAAAAAAAAATCACTTTTGTTAACAAATTCTATGTAAAACAAAGTCTAACGAATGTTATTCGATATGGTAATTTTTTCTAATTTAAAATTTTATTATTATTATTATTTTTACTTTTTGGTAATTGGAACAAATTATTGACGCAATGATAGAAAAAATTATCCCTTTAATTGACAATTTCATAACAAACGAAGTCAAATGGACACCAAACTTTCAACATTTTTCATGTGAAAAATTATACCAATCAAACATAATTAAGTACAATTTCCAGTCAAACAAATTTTAGACAATTCAACTCCCAATAAAATATTTTCTTTCAATTCATTTTTTACATTTACAATCAAACGGATCTTTAGTTGAATAGTAACGTATGTCTATTTCTGGAATCATATCAATATTTGGTGCATTCATCTTAATTAGCAATTCCAACTTCGCATCAATGTCACGATTAATATCGTGGCTAGCATCATTATCGTGCCCCTACGCACCCCTTCTCCAGTCAGAAGTGAGACAGCTAACCTTTGAATGCGCACAAATTAAGCACTGCACACTGCAAGAGTGTGTATCAAAATCTTCTCATTCTCTGCCATCCTCTCTCTCTCTCTCTCTCTCTCTCTACAGTTCAACTACATATTTTTTACTATTCTGTATAATTTCCATTTTCAATGGCTTGTTCAATTTCAGTTCAAACCCTTTTACTTACCCCCAAACTACGTTCACCTTCTTCCAAATTTTTTCCAGTTCTTGAAAATAACCGCAGTGATAAATTTCGAAATAGAAAGAGGAAAGTTATCAAAAGATGCAGAGCTATGGTTCGGCAGACAGTACAAGGACCTTCGGCCGCTTATGCTAAGGAAATGGAAAGACTCGCCGCTAAAGAATCTCTTCTTCTTTCTGTGAGTTTCTTCAGATTTTTTTACAGAAATTCCTAATTTTATTTTATTAATAATGGGCTTCTCATTTCTGCAATTTTCAAGGGAATTACAAATTGGATCTGGTTTCTGTAGATTTTTTTGCTGTAATTTTGCTTAATAAATACTGTATCTATAATCCTGTGCTTCGTGTTCATTATTCAATTTTGAAAGATAATGTTTTTGATGTAATTTGCCTAAAAGTTTTTAACTTTCGCTTAATTGTATCAGTATTTTTTCTCTTTATGTAGTATATAATATTTATTGTTAAAGCTAGTGTACTTAAAATTTAAAGCTTCTTCACTCCCCCCCCTGGCAATGTAGCTCGGTTCACCTTTGAATGCGCACAAATTAAGCACTGCACACTGCAAGAGTGTGTATCAAAATCTTCTCATTCTCTGCCATCCTCTCTCTCTCTCTCTACAGTTCAACTACATATTTTTTACTATTCTGTATAATTTCCATTTTCAATGGCTTGTTCAATTTCAGTTCAAACCCTTTTACTTACCCCCAAACTACGTTCACTTTCTTCCAAATTTTTTCCAGTTCTTGAAAATAACCGAAGTGATAAATTTCGAAATAGAAAGAGGAAAGTTATCAAAAGATGCAGAGCTATGGTTCGGCAGACAGTACAAGGACCTTCGGCGGCTTATGCTAAGGAAATGGAAAGACTCGCCGCTAAAGAATCTCTTCTTCTTTCTGTGAGTTTCTTCAGATTTTTTTGCAGAAATTCCTAATTATATTTTATTAATAATGGGCTTCTCATTACTGCAATTTTCAAGGGAATTACAAATTGGATCTGGTTTCTGTAGATTTTTTTGCTGTAATTTTGCTTAATGAATACTGTATCTATAATCCTGTGCTTCGTGTTCATTATTCAATTTTGAAAGATAAATGTTTTTGATGTAATTTGCCTAAAAGTTTTTAACTTTCGCTTAATTGTGTCAGTATTTTTTCTCTTTATGTAGTATATAATATTTGTTGTTAAAGTGTAGTGTACTTAAAATTTAAAGCTTCNGCTAGTGTACTTAAAATTTAAAGCTTCAAATTGCAATATCAACCTTATAGTATTGTTTACAGTTAGATTTATCCTTAATCTTTTATTAAATTTTGAATATAGAATTGAGAAATAACTCCCATACACCATACTGCAAATCCAGAGTTTGATATTTGTGAGGAAATAAATTTTGTTAAATATTTTTCATTTGCCTTG